ATTCGTAAATAACAAAATTTATAGACTTTGAACAATTTTGGTAGAGTAGTTACATAAATGCAACATTGCTTTTATATTATGTTTAAGAGATAAATATATAAATCATTCAAGGTTTCTCTTTCACGTAAAATTAGAAATTTAGGCTTAGTATATATATATATATATCGTTGGCTCACTATTACAAGGTTCTATGTTATAATTTTAGTACTTATTTAGTTATTAATGCTACAAGGTTCTATGTGTAATTAGCTACAGTTTTGCAAAAACAAACCACTAGATAGCGGCACTATAACTACAAAATATTCAATTTTACATAGTTCTATGTTGTTTTTTTTTTACGATAACAAAATAACGAAGTTCTATGTAAAAATTACTAAACTTCATTAAAATTAACATAGAACCTTGTAATAGTAAGCCAACGAATTATGTACACAAATACTAAGTATTTAAGATCATTAATAAGTTATGGTAATATGTTATTTGTACGATTTTATGTGTCTACGTAATATTTATAGTACTTCCTGGATTATATTTTTTCTAGAGTTGTCTGGAAATATGCAAGAACGTGCGCAGATAAATTAATGTCTCTTTATAATAAAATACTTTATTTCAACTCTAAATTATTATTAGATACTTAATTTCGAAACTTAACTCACTGACAGACAGACAATTAGAGACAACAAATAGGAAATAGTTTGTAGCTTTTGAAGTAGAAGTTGGTTGCAATATGATTTTAGGATATTTTAATCTTTAAAAAAATCAGTCAAGTACGTGTTTAAAGGCACCAAGAGTTTACACATTAACACCAAATTTTTTTATGTTATGTTTGTGCTTTTGTATTTTTTTAGATTGACATTAAAATATAACCGTAAACCGTAAAGTATAATCGTTTTCAATACAAAAGTTTATTTCATTTATGAATATTCATTTAAAATTACCCTACGCTTTTTTTATTCTTTAAATTTTCAATGGCAACACCTACCTTTTTTTCATCTATAAATATATTAATTCTTAATTCTATCAATATCCGGATAAAATGTCAAATGAACAGGTGGACATCACAAAATTATAAGGGTTCCGTTTTTGCCCTTACTAGCTAAAGTACCTAAAAAACTAATCGTTAAACTATTAAAAAGACTTTGTTTACCATAATCTAATAATTTAAACTAAAATATAATGTTTTAATGAATACTGGTGTCCGTCTAGTGATCGAAATTTCGATCATAATTAAAAAAAAAAACTATTTCAAAGTTTTTTTTAATTGATAACACAAAAACCTGTCAATTGCTACTGCAAAAAATAGAAAATCGGTTGACAAATATTTGCTTATTTATTTACAGTACATCGTGTGCTCAATTATATTATTTTCTTTAATTAATTCTCCATATATAAATTACAATAAATAAAATTATTATAAATTATTTTAACTAGTTACATGCGATGACATCGCATTCAGCACAATCTTTAGACGTCTAGTATGACTGGACTGGTCTTGCGTTGGTCAGATTTCAACTGCTCTATTATCTTTCACGTCATTCTATCAAATAAATAAACGTGAGTAATTAAGCTTTGACAAATAACGGTACATAATGTTCATTTAAGTAGTGTTTTAAAAGCTTTATACTATATCAGTGTCTTCAATATAATTGGAGAGCATTATTTCCAAATGTAAAATTGGTAATATAGAGTAGATTTAAATTTTGACTTCCAAAAAGGTTTTGGATGGTACTGCATTCGCGTGTTTTCAGTTCGATTTTTTGGCAGCTGTAATCTGATTTTCATTATTACATTTTAGTAAGTACTAGCGACTCACCCTCGCTACGCTCGGGTTCGTCCCTACTTACGTTTTAACGTTTAGTATCGATTTCTCAGAGATGAGATATTCTCCCACCGTAATAGGTATCCTATATGTTGACCCGGATAACCAGCTATCACATCAAAATCCCTACAGTGGTTTTTCTGTGATGCGGTAACAGACAGACAGACAGATAAAAATTCTAAAAAATAAAGATTTAGCCTCTATATCGATAATAAAGACTATTTCAATAAGATTTTGTAAAAAATGTTTAATGTACAGATTCGGCTTAGTTACAATTTTATTATATGTATAGAAGTAGATATAGATGTGTTAATTAACCATATAGGTAATTATAAAAACATATTTAGTAATGCTTCTACTCATATTTAAAACTATTATTAATCATTTAAATACCTCGTCACATTGTTCTATGTAATCTATACACTGAATATTATTGCTCACGTTTAACTCAATCTCTTTTTATCTATTTAACATAGCATAGCTTAAGCCGTTTAAAGCAAACATAGCGGATTAACATCCCTTCAATGGCTTCATACCTTTTGTTTTGTACTACCAGTTGCCTGTGACTTTTATATTTAAAAAAAAAGATAAAAAAAACTAAATAATATTATCATAATTTCAGGCGGATAAGTCGGTTTTCACAAAGGTACTTTACTCTGGTATATATTTTTTTCTCTACGTAACATAATATCTTCTCTTATAGCGAACTTATTTTCATACCTGTTATGAGATATCTATTTTCTATTATTATAATATAATAATAATTATTATATATAAATAATAATGAATGCTCGCATGTTTGTCCTCTATACATTCCTAAACTATTGGTTCGTTTGAGATGAAACTGGTGGATTATTCTGTATACGCTTGCGAAGGTTCCTGGTCCAAGAAGCAATTTTTTTTGGACGTTTGTCTTTTATGCGTTCCTAAACCATTCAAGCTTAGCGTGCCTAAGCGAAGTGAGGGTAAGTTGCTATTCACTACATATTATAAAACAAAGTCCTCCGCCGTGTCTGTCTGTCTGAAATTATTACTTATTGAACTGAAAAACTACTGCACCGATTTTCATGCTGTTTTCACCAATGGATAGAGTGGTTCTTGAGGTAGATTTTAGTATATAATTTCTTAGGGTTTTGTATACATTGGCTAAAATATAATGATATTTGTTGGAGGTATCGGTAAAAAATAGGCCGTCTGGGAGCTTTCAACGTAAACGCTGCCTAAACCCTTTGAGATATAACAAAATAATGTATGGTGGAATTGTGTATCTTATATAGGTCTACAAAAATGTCTGCAATGGCATATATGTATCTTTTAAGGATAACATACTATATCCATTTTAATTTAAAACGTACCTATATAAAAAAATCCCTTCGAAAAAGTGAAATATTTACTTTTAAAATAAAATTGGTAATTTTAAAGTCAGTATACCTGTTGAGTTAGAAAGTACTTACTTATTTATAATCATATACATTTTGAATTAATTCTAAGGTTCATAAACTTACTGAACCAAATCACCAAGCTGTAAAACAAAATTCAAAACACAAAGTGACTTTATAAATAACATTACACAGACACAAAGATTAAAAGATTTAATAATATCTGAAGGCTAGATGTATTTTTTTGTGGCGATCCCGTCGGATATGGCGACCCATCCGGCGTAGTGTCGCATTTCTTGACTGATGACTTGACGTTAAAATACTCTTGCTGTACTTTTATACTCTGCACTCAGGTTATAAAATATTTATAGTTCAACAAATAAATTAGGGATACATATATACATCGACGTGTAATAAAATAAATATTACCCACAGACCTGATTATTTTTAATTTAGTTTAGCTTAAAGCATAGAGTCAAAAAGTTTGCTCATAAAAAATTTTTTGAGACTAGCGACTCAACCTCGCACCGTTCGGGTTCGTCCCTAAATACGTTTTAACGGATAGTATAGATTTCTCAGAGATGAGATATTTTTCCGCAATAAAAATCATCTTATATGTTGATCAAGATAACCAGCTATCACCATACATAATTTCATCAAAAATTGTCCAGTAGTTTTCTCGTGATGCGTTTCCAGATAGACGGACAGATAGACAGACAAAAAATTTAAAAACTATAGATTCGGCCGCTGTATGTATGTAGTAATGACTATTTCAATAAGATTTGTCCAAAAAGTATTTAATGTACACATTTATTATATGTAGGTATAGAAAAGTTTCATAACTCAATACCAAATAGATACCTAAATAAGTTAAATAATAAATAACCTTTGGACTCTCTTTTGTATATTGCAAAGAACACACATTTTCAACATGAAGTAAACGATAAAAATATTATAACAATCGCGAAAATAAAATAGTTCATTCGAAATAAAATCGTTATAAAAGTCATAATCGTTGTGATAATGTATCGATAACAAACATATACACTGAAGTGCATTGTAAATAGAGTTTTATAACAAGAGAAATTTCAGTTTCAGTTTTGTTATCGCGTTACGCGGTATCGACGCCAGCGCAACGTTTGGCGAAATAGAACTTACTTATTTTTCTACAAAATATAAGTTACTAAGTATATTGGTGTATGAAATGTGCAGTACAATAGTAAGATCCAGTGGAAAATAAACCAATGTAAAGTGTCGTAAAAACCTGCTTTATATTTTCTTGTTCATAGAGTTGACGCTTGACTCTCTACTCGTTCGATAAATGTTAGATTTTTTATATTTTATTTATTTATGTGAAAGGATAATTTATTTTATTTATTTTGCGGAAATAAAGAAAAGAGATTTTTTTTATATTAGCTTATAACTTAAGGCATATTAATTTAAAGGATTGTTCGCCGATCATGAAAAAGGAAATGCCAATCTAGCTATCATATCAGTTCGATATAGATATCGGCATGACTGTACTTCTGTCGCATTACACGAAATCCAGTGCTGAAAAACCAAATAAACAAATACCTATAAAAACGGATTCGGTAACGGCGCGGATGTGCAATCCATATACAATTGTTTGTTTACAAGTACTTGAGCGACAATTAGTTGGGCAATCATTATTATTTTCCAGTTCAGTATGATCAGCAATTGACAAATATCTGTATCAACAATGGCTTTGTATTTTTGTGTAACGCTTGCCTCATTTGCGTTTTCGACCTATCGTCATCAGTTTTCACTGTGCCAATTATTCATTTGACTAAGAAAACAATCGAGCAGTGACCGACTGTTACATTATCGGGCGGTCGTAATCGTAAATCACCAGGCGTTCGGTTTTCGGCGCGTGAGTCAGGTGTTGTATAATCGGAAAGAGTCCCCGAGCAGCCCCTCGACCCTTCGTAGAGCCGATCGGTGGCGTACATTCGTGGCACGTCCTTTGTTGACCGTTTTGTTTTGGAGAGCCATCCGGTTCCTGGTAGGGGGGAGGGGACAGGTGAGCGCAGGTATCGCGCGCGTCGGTAGTCAGTCCACCTCGCCGCGTTGAGCTGCGCGCGCGCCTCGAACATAAATACTTTAAAATATAGAAATGGCAAGTCAGTCCGCGACAGGTGTGCGGCCGCGGCGATCGTGCACGTGTGCTGTTAGTGAGTGCGCCTGCGCTGCTTTCTCCACAACCCTAGGCACCGGTAAGTTTTCCACATTTCGGTGAAATTACCACCCGTCCGTTGGAACGTACCGGCGTTTTGATTCCTCACTTGCGTCGGTTAGCACGCATCTGTCATACACCGTATCGGTACAGCTGCTGTCCTTTGAATAGGTAGGTGTATATAATTTTTATTTCTTGACGATGTGACATTTGTTTGAATGAATTCGCCCTTCAATTACGTCTTAGGGTTCTAACACAATTAGTAGAAGCCGCCGGTATCGTTCACACGGGCGGATCGTTTCGCGTGTTGCTGTTACTTAGGTAAATATTGGTGGGTTCGATAAAGTCTGCGAGTGCGTGCGTGTACACCTACTGTTATCGATTCCACACAGACGTCATTTTGATAGTTATCTTTGGTGTATTTGGGTCATTGTTCTTTTATATATTTGCTGACTTTTCATATTTACAGAAAACTGATCATTTCGTAAATTTAATTGTATATACTCGTATCAAGCGATATTCTATATAGTAAAGTCGTAAATTAAAATGTGTTTCGTATTTATTATTATAGGATGAATTAAAAGATAGTAACGAAACGTTTTAGCCACTTGCACAAGCTACAAGTTTTATGTACATACTTCTCCATATAATACTTGTTAGACTACAGCCTTATACCGACTTCATATAATTACATTATATTGTGATTTTTACACTTTAAATGGTAAAAATATCTTTTTTTGTATTTATATCTGATGTTTTATGTTGTTCGTTTGAACATAAAAATTGTAGGTAATATTTCCATGTAAATGCATACAACGAGTACGTGTGAGTATGATAAAGCTTGTGTTTTCGGAAATCCACAAGTGATATTTATTTTTTACTTTGAGTATAACGTAAATAAAATATTTATTATCAATATATTATTTACAATGACGAAGCCACTTGTTTTGAAGATTATTTTAAAGAAATCGGCTTACTGTTTCGTTTTATGGCGTTGTGAGGTTAATAATTAAACTCCAACGTGAAACTTTCTTTAGAAATTTCTTATATTAAATACTACATTAATATTTATAATTCACGATCGTTGATATTAATTCACAAAGTCACGTAAATTTAGAGATCTTGATACGAGATATCTTAAAACGTAGTATAGTGTTATCTATAATGATTATCAATTGTAGAGTCAAAATAAAATTCAACAAAAAAACGAATATTTTTTTATTATTGTAAAATTATGAATTATTGAATTTTTTTATGTTTAATTTTATGACTTTTATAAATATATTTTCATTTCCTAGTACAAAATTATATGGCTAGATATAGTTAAAAGTCATCATATGTATAATAAATACTTTTCTACCGTACTCTACCTTCTATATAAATCGGCGTTACTTTGACTTGGTCAAGTTGGTATTTCCAGTTCTATTAAGTTTAAACCGCCTGAATAGAAGCTCGTGCCTATATACGTCTTTTTTAAGAGCAGAAGTCACTGAAGTCATGATCGTAAACAAATTCCCAACACCTTGCAATCAAAAAAGCACCTGCTATAATGATCTTAAGCCATTAGACCATCCCGATATAGTAATAAGAAAATGCCTTACCTTATTTCAAATAACTCGTGAAGACGTTGTCATTTCATTAGATGTAGATGTATTTTCTGCTTCTTTGCTGTGAATTTTAAATTTATTTTCAGATGTACCTAATTTTTAGGTAAATCTTTATTATGTGTCATGAACTTATAGGGTAAAAGCTATTAATTGTTATTAAGATAGCAGTAAAGTAATTTCTATTTTGCTAGCTATTTTGTTTTATAACCGGGTTACTATTAAGTATCCAATGCGAAAGCTAGTATGTGCCTGTGTGTATGTTTGTTGCTCCTTCATACTGAAATGCCTGGTTGGATTTGGATAAAACTTAGTGCAGAGATAGATGATCTGAACTAACACATAATCTAATGTTAACTGACTAGGGACGTACCCGGGCGAAGCGAGGGTTAGACGTTATTAACTTTATAAAATATTTTTTTCAAATCCGCTTGTTATATTTACAGCGTTGAGATTTCTTCATAAAATAGTGATTAGTTTTTGTTGTCCGACACGACTCTCACGCTTGACTGCTCTACTGGAACAATGTGGTGTTTTTGGCATTAAAACCAACTTTCGTGTCTCATTTTTTACTCTGCTAAGTTTCTAAAACTATTAAGTTTCGAAGATTTTATAAATTATTTGCCTATTTAAGAATTCTGCATTGAGTTGTTTTTAACTCTACCTAATAGTATAACTTATTTTTTTTTTAATTATTTAATTCAATGAAAATAAAGTTTACAATTTGCAGTTCTTAAAGTACAAATTATATAATTATATTTAGTTAGTTTGTTAGGTTTATGTCGACGTTAGCAAAGACGAATGTCTTTTTGAACCTTTGAACTTGTGAATCACTAAAACCAAGGCCGCCAGCTTCGTATGCCGCTAACTTATTTACATTAATAATGTTATAAAATTTGTGATGAATAAAATTTACTATTGTCACTACGAAATCTTAACTTTAGGCTACTTTCTTATTTATACAAATAAAACAGTATATTTTCGAATAGTTTCTCAATTCTCATAAAATAATGGCCATACACACGTGTGAAATTGTAAAATTGCTTATGAATTTTATGCCTAAAAGTTGTCTGACATTATTTTACGCTATATTACCAGCTCTAGGCGCGAGTTTGTGGCAAACGCACAGTATAAAGTAGTAAAAGAACCATTATCTATTTGAAATAAAACAAAAGCATAGTCTCTATCTCTGTAAGATTGCATCTGCGAAACTGATGATAAAAAATAAAAAGAGCTTAGAAACAGAAGAGTAAAGCGTTTAATAGAGACCGCCAATCGACAACACGTCGACTTGCGGCATCCGAGACGAGATTTCTAATCGACGCACGTCACGCGCCGTCCTCTGTCCGGAACGAATCGGCGGAGATAAGCATCGACATCGACTATGGACATTGGACATTGGTAGGGCTGTAAATTTTAGTACCGCTGTTTATAGGCGTTAGTAAGGTTTCATGTTGTCATATAAAACGGCTCAGTTAAATGTCATACATACTATGTTTAGACAAATTATTATTACGTAAAGTAGTGTCGATTTTTTAGCATCTGTATCGATTTTAAACTAAAGACTCTACATTTTAACTTCAACAATTTATATATTTCTTTATTAAAAGAACTGGTAATGTTATTTGCTATTAATATTTTCATTATTTATGCCTTTAAAATAACCGAAAACACGACCCTATAGTAAACTAATATACGAATATACAAAAAAGCTATCATGTTCCGCGACAAATGGACCTCAGTGCGATGACTTGACGACTTTAGCATTGTTCCCAGCCCGCCGGGAGCGGTCAGAAAACTCGATTAACGTACTTAATGTAAATAATAATTTAACCTTACACCAGATACTAGTTCCAATATTGACTTTACAAGTACAGTAGTATTGATTAAAACATAATTTTCTTATAAAGAATGTGTATATTACAGGAGTATAGTTCTTATTTAAATAAGACACAATTTGTAATTTGTTTCTAAAGTCAACAAAGCTAATACCAATATCAATGTCAATGTCAAGTAAAACACTACTTCTAATCCAATTATATCGTAAAAGACCAGCTTTTGTATTAATAAGAAAACTGTTGAGAAAATTACTCGATTCAACAGCAATCAAGGCAATTAAAATCAGTTATAAATCGATCTCTGTAGATTTTCGGTTTCGGTTCTCTAATTTCTAACACGTCTGATTTCGTGTGTTCTTGTTACTTTTGAAATATGACGAATCTAGATTGTTCTCTAAACTCGGAGCATGAAATTGTGTGCACGAGGCGTATCGGCAATTTGCGTCAGTTTTTTTATCACAGTCACGACAGGCCGGATTCTTCGTTGCGCGGCCAATCGCCGGCTAGAGACGGTGTAATTGGGAGAAACTACGGCCACCACAAATGCTTGAGATTTAACTGCGTCCATTCAGCGTAGACCCCTGAAAAGACATCTCCGTTGGCGACTCTAGACGCCCCGTTAACTATTAGGACAGGTTCAAGAGGTCTCTCTTAAATTGTTGCTCTATAATGACACGCCGCTCGCCGTCCAGCAATACGAGGTCTAACTGTTTCGGCCCTTTGTTCAGTGATGATTGTTTGAGCGATGGCTTATCATTTCCCTGACGGATATTATTTTGGGGCACTTTTGCAGGTAAAAATGCTGGTTTTTGTTATAGGCGATTTTAGGAAAGCACATTGTAGTGTTATCAATCCTACTGCAAATGATTGTAAGATATTTTGATATATTTGTAAATAGTGTAATTATTGTCCAATTAGTCGGAAGATAGATGCACATTTTTCCTCTTGAGTCACTTCTCATCTCTATATAGAGTCCGTAAACATATATTTTTTAATTCCAGCCTTTTTTATTTAATAGAAAATACTTAGATATAATATCTTATTCTCTGTTTGCATCACAATATAAAGTTGTTAAGGTAATATTAATATAACTTCATCGTATTTTACTTAGCAAATAGGACAAAGGATGTATTTGTGTAACTTCAAACTAATTTCAACGTAAACAAAATTAAATTACAACGCTCGACTCTTGGGTAATTGTTAAGGATTTATATGTGAGTGCAATCAGCGCTGTAGTACAGGCTTTCTAATCACGAAAACAATAAAATGGCGGCGATGTGCGCTATATAGGCGCTGAACAACGGATCGTATCGAACTGGAACGCCTACGGTGGTTCGCTTAAACAGAGCATTTGCTCCTAATGTATTGCCGGTCAAAAAACAACCTATATGAGAATGTAGAGCTTTAATTATTCTTTTCTTTACAAGCGGTAGAGCAGAAAACTACACTTTAACTATTTTTTTAAGTAGTAAGTAGTT